ATCTACTGGTCGGATGGACGTCCCAGATGGCTTGAACGATGGCTATGGACGTCCGTCGACCAGCGCAATTTGTTTGACGTCGATTGGAGCTTTGGCCACGGAGTTACGGTGGAATATGTGGTTGGTGCCCGCCTTTTGATGCCGCTGAGCCCCCTTTTTCGAGCATAACTTTCCAACGACCGAATGGATTTTGCTTCAAGTTGGCTTGTATGATTGCTATGGGTCATAGCTACACCAAATTTTTTAGTTTGTGCCAATTGAAGCTCTGTGGGCGGAGATAAGAGCGGTGGCGCATATAAGAAATTGCGCCACCGGTGGCGTAAATAGACAAACCCAAATCCATTACACTCTGCACTTTGGGATCACTCCCCCCTCTTCCTTCCCTCCCCCTGCGAGTATTCTTTTCTTGCAGCCGCTGCATTGCTGTCATCCTTATTTGTAGCAGCAGTTTTGCACCTCAGATGTGTGTTCTTGTTCCTAACAGGGCGTGCAGCTGAGCACGTGTTCTTATCGGTAAATTCTTAAGTTTTGGATTTTTTGAGCGTCAAATTCTAAGTGCCATATTCTTACGTGCGGGCCGGCACTGTATTTGGTCCTCCCGCAATAAATATTCGAACCAACTGGTGATTTATCGCCGTCCGGAGGCAGGAGGAGGACGAACTGACCGTTTTTTCGGGGATGTTTTACACTACAGCGAAGATAGAGGGCCCAGTGGACTACATACCTACTGCTGTCACTTTCTTGCGGCTCGTGGGACCACAACTCTCTCCCTAACTATCTACAAGAAGGACGAAGACTGCGACTTGTGTTCGCGGATACTGCAACATTGTTGTACCTCGAAACTTCCCGAAAATTCGTGCATATTACCAGAAAGCATCCGCTACACCATGGGGGGGTCATAAACCGTTCCATCGGTTACTGCACGCACATTCCTTCGTCATGGGCCCTTAGCAACGCTGGCTGAATGATACCGCCGGTGGCCCCGTCTGGAACATTTTGTAGCGCCGGTGGAATTTTGGGCAACAGACGGCTGAATCGCCAAGTCATTCTGTAGTAGGTTGAATAAATATAGCGCCGGTCCCTCGGAATAGTAGTGCCAATCGATTCGCCGGCCACATACATACCCGCGGCGTCAGTGAGGGCCCACGACCGCTCACTGCTGTAGCCTGACAATAGAGAACGATTGTCACCTTCCCAGAGCTCGGGCTTATCCTGGCTGGCTTCTGAAAATAATATCTAGAAAAAGTTTAGAACGTGGTGGTTGGCGACGGATCTTCGACACAGGCACGCCGTCGCTGAAATGTGTCAGGTGTGGCGTGTCCGCGCTGCTCGCGAAGCCCCATGTGTGCTGCCACATGTGTCGAACGAAGGAATGAATGGATTTATTGGTGGATGTTGAGGCCGATGCACCACGCATGCCATTGTGGACGTACGGTACTCTGCTGTCATGGAGGACAATCAATCGATGTGAAAACCGTAAGTAGGATGCATTGTCCAAAGATTTCACACCCACCCCTTGGACCGGTTTCAAAGCTCTATATTGCTCCACAGCTGACAGCTGAATTGAAGAAGTGGGGGTGCCGGAAATGGCAGCATTGGAACTGTACACTACTTGCTGCTCGTTCGCGAGCTTCCGAATTACGAAGTGTATGTTAGGAAGAAACATGTGGAAATGTTTCATTTGATTTTGGCCATCTATTCGTGGTGGAGCAAGAAGAGAGGTTTGAAATTCGGACCAGGGGTGCGGTATCTTGCGGCCTACCTTATCTCTACAACAATAGCCCAAAAAAAATAAAAAAAATAATAGCCCAACAAGTTGCGTCCGTCTGCGCCCGTCTCTCCGCTCAGATTCGAAGAACTGCTGCTATTATTGCTGCCACTCTCTCTTGATCGAGGATACAACCTGGCGACCAAAGCTCGTTCTACTCGGCAAACCAGTACACCAGCGTGTGCCAGTACGCGGCGCACCTGCTGTACAGATGTACAGTGTAGTAGTTCCGCCGCTTTTCTTTACCTTCTTCAACTGATGTTGTACTTCGGAAGTAGAAAAGTGTCGATGCCAATGCACGCATGACTCGAGTTAGGTCGCATCCGGTCGCCCCGGTGGTCCAGTGGTATCGTCTTATTCCGCTCGTCGCAGAGGTCGTGAGTTCGAATCCCCATGGGGTGAAAAATTTACGAAATGTGCGGGTGGGTGAAAGCGAAATATAGCTGACAAGTTCTCGTGAGTAGTACCAAACTTGGATGTTAGCACCGTTGACAAGGGAAAGGGACGGCTGGACCCTTCTCGCGATGAAAATAAAAATTCAGCACGCACCGCAGGAGGAAGGTGGGGCATGGAAATCAAAACAAATAAGAAAAAGGACCTGGTGTTTACCCCCTCCTGTGTGACCGTGGATGGTTGTTGTACACTGAAAAGTGGAGTACTCTACATACAGAACCCGTCCGCACTGAAGAATATGGACGTTGAGAATTTGAGCCTCAAAAAATCCAATTTTTAAGAATTTGCCCGCAAGAACACGTGCTCAGATCGGACCTGCTGTTAAGAATAAGAACCTCCAGTGAGGTGTACGACTGGTGCTACAGATAAGAACATACTACATGACGCGGCGGTGGCGAGAGAAGAACATACACAGATGGAGGANGGGGGGGGGGGGGGGGGGGGGGGGGGGGAGGCGTTCCCAGGTTTGGTAGTTGGTACCTACCTAGACTATCCCTTTTTAGATTTCTTTTTGAGGTGGGGTCTGCTGTACATATATGTCGTGCCTGGGCCAGCGAGTTTTTTCATTCTACCACGCAACGTGGTGCAGCGTGCCACGAGTTGCCTGCCGTGCAGGGGGATCATGTCCCTGTCCAACCCCTTATCCCATGGGTTCTTGAAGGACCTTGGCATACTCTCGGAGTTGAAACAACGAGGACTGATTCTTGACCGTCACTTCGAGACGATAAAGGCACATGTGAAGGCGGGCAACTCCCTTGCGAAGGAGCGATGGGACGCAATCGAGAACGCATGGGGGCTGAAGCAGACGGGTGTCTTCAACGAAGAAGAGTGGATCACGCAGATTGATGGAGAGGCCCAGGGTATTA